CACCACCACCACCACCCCACTTTTCTCTTTGGAAAGGACCTGAGGTGGCTTACATCCTTGAAAGACAACATTTAAAGCCAGAAACCATGAGTCTACCCCAAGGGTTGACATCATTAAAAAGAATTTTTGGCCCATCTCTTAACATCCACTTGTATAGCCAGCCCTCTTCCTCCCCCGTCCGCGTCTTAGGAATACACACCAGTTGGCAAATGTTCCGCCTGGCCCCCTCTCCCTGGCACCCCAGTGGCCATGCTTTTAGCCCATCTCCCTGCTAGGAACCTGTTTCCTATGGCTTGAAAACCCGAAGAGCAGGGTGGGCCACTACTGGGACAGGTTAAAAAAAGCCAGCCGGTGCACTTTGTCCCCCCTCTCCAGAGAAACGGCAGGGTTTGCCACCTGGTGAGCTCGGGGGATGAAGGGATGAACAGGGACTCAAACTCAGTTCCCCCACCTGCCAGGTAAACAGCAAAAGGGATTCAGAGAAGACACGGCCGTTCCTCCCTGGACTTCTTCCCTCGCATGGTGCCCCTCGCCTCCATGGCAGTCCCTGGAGAAATCTGGACCACCCCAAACCCCGCATGTAAAATTCACTTTTAACATCCTGTAGCAAACCTTTTCTGCTCTTTTCCTCCCTCCCTCCCCGAGATAAGATCATTCCCAAGGTAGCATTGCTGCTTTTTTTTAAAAAAAAGATTTCCACTCCTGTCTCCATTGGTATCCTCTCCAAGTGCAGATGGCATCGTATCATTCTCCCTCCTGCCATTGTCACAGACATCGTTCCGGCAAAGAAAGAAAGCCAGGTGGGGACGCAGTCCAGTTTTGTTTCGGGGTTTTGCTTGGTGACCCCCAAGGCCGTGGGTCCGTTGGCCCCTTTCAAGCCCTGTGAGAGGTGACCCACGGCACAGGCAGGCCCACTGCGTAAGAAAGCCCCCCCCCCACCGCCTAAAAGGCCTGTCCTCTCTTTCGGAGGAGCAGACCATTCTGCGTGAATGGTGTGTGTGTCTGTGTGTGTCCCATTTCTGTGCAACTGGAGCACAGGGAGGGGTGGATGTGAAGACAACCCCCCCCCCATCGCCTGGAGACTGGCTGGCAAAAATAACCAGGGCCGGAATTTGCCAGTGATGAGGGTT